CTTTGTTTTATTTTTTTTATTTCGGGTCGTTACACTTGGGGTAAGCCTTCGGACCTTAGGTGTAATTCCCTTAACTGTTCCACCAAGCCCTAAAAGGGTAGAGGTTGTGATTGTGTATATAAATGCAATAAAATAGTGTAATGCTTTGTTATACGTATGTGTATGCATTTGGTGTGGCATAGGATGGTGTTTCCCTATGTTGGTATGTTGCATGACGATGCGTAAATCATACTTGGTAGTTAGCTGGCCAGTAGGACTATTTGCATCTGAGTTTCCTTAGGACAGCTTGAGAGCTCGAGGGATTTCTCCTGGAGATGTTATTGCACTTTGCATAGATATGTATTTACTGCATTATTATTGTTATTGCTATTACACTGATATGGAACTGTGGGGTGGAGAGATGCTCCAAGGACCCCTGGTTTACTGGATATATTCGTATATCTCACCCCGTGTTATGGGGACCCCCTTTCAGGTAAGGATGCTGCAGGAGCCTCTGGTGGCAAGTGGCCATATCTGGATTAGCATGTGCATGAAATGTTGCATTTCTTTTGAGATTATACATGTTGTTTTGTAGCTCATATGTATAGAATTGTAATTAATAGGCAATGGTAGATTTATTGCTTGTATATTGGAATGGACTTAGCCTATGCTCATGCCTTTGGTCATCTCTTTTGTTGATGGGAGCCAAGGGAATGATCATAGTGTTTTGTAATCTAAGTTCCATGATTTGTAATGAATATGTACTGTAAATGATGCCTACTTGAAATTCAATATATGCATGCTTGTTATGTATTGAGTTATTGAATTGGTTGGGCTGAGAATCAATTAGGTACCTTTTGTTTAAATTGGGAAACGTTGAGAAAACAAAGGTTATGCTGCCCAAATTCTAGCTAAATCTCATAAGGAGAGGTTGGATAAGTGCTAGGATTAAGTTTTGAGGCATGAACCATTGAGGTTTGGAATGGTGATGCATCTTCCCCTAGACTTGGACTTGAAAAATGAAGGTAATAGAATTCCCTGGCAGCGCACTTTAGCGCCCTGCTGCCCCTGTGAGAGTCAATGCTTTCGGCCTCCTCGCGCTGGAGCGCCCTGAGTGGGGGCTTAAGAGCCCAGGATTGCGCGCTTGAGCGCCCTGGTTCGCGCTTGAGCGCCCTTAGCCGCTGAAGGAGGAGATGCTTCTGCCTCTGCGCGCTAAAACGTCCCAAATGGGGGCTTAAGCGCCCAGGATAGCGCGCTTGAGCGCCCTACTGCGCGCTTAAGCGCCTAATTATACTGAAAAACCTGATGCTTCCTGCCTCCGTGCGCTTAAGCGCCCAGATGGAGGCTTTAGCGCCCGATAACGCGCGCTTGAGCGCCCGGTAGCGCGCTGAAGCGCGCGGGGCCTGTGATCAACACCCTTTTGTGTTGCTTCCAACTGTCATAACTTGGGCTACAGTGCTCCGATTTGAGCGCGGTTTGAAGCCACGCGTAGCCAACGAAGAGATCTACAATATAGTAGAAGTTGTGAAATAAATAAGAAATAAATTAATGGTTTAAAAATGGAATAAGAACATGATGTTAAGCTTGATTTATCTGATTCCGCAAGGTAATATGGTTATAATCACGCAATTGGATATTTTAAATTCGGCGTCGTTTTGAAAAGAAAAATTTATCCGGATTTTTAATTGAGCCAATGTGATTGTAACTGCGCTTAATATCATAATGCGATGTTAACAAACCGGTTCTAGAACGGGGCGTTACAGAAAATTTGAAATGATTTGGATTAGACTTTTACGTCACATAATTGAACCTAAATCGCCTAACAATGATATTAGGTCAATTGTTTATGTAAAAAATATTTGTCCTTTAAAGAATAGTCTTTTAGTTAGAATTAGTATTTTTTATTTAAAATTTAAATTTGAAAAAAAAAACCTCTCATTTTCTTCCAATGATTTTCATTGTGTATCTCTTTCTCTCATTTAAAATGACACAATTCTATATTCTTTGAAAGGACAAACACCAATCCCTTTGTTTAAATGATTTTGTGATGAAATGTTCTTTCATTTTTTTTTCTCCTTCAATTATCATTTAAGATATTTTTATTTAACATGAAACTTTCTATAGATAGTATCGAATAGGCGTAAATGTAATGTTGTAAAAATCAGACCGGACCGACCGGGTCAACCCAGAACCTAGAGAACCGATCATCTAACTGGTCCGGTTATCGTATTGGATCGGCCAAGTACCAGATCCGGTACGACCCAGCCGGTTTTGGTGAAAACCGGTGCACCGGCCCGGTTTATTTTTTTAAAAAAAATTCAAAATTTTTTTTTTCCAATAAAAGTCATGATAGATATATTTGAGTGATCTGTTGCTTATTGACTTACATAGGTAATGTACCTACAATGCTAATATTATCTCAGTTATACACTGTGCAGGGAATTTTGATTTGATTTATAGTTAGAGATGTTATTTACTGAACCTGAAATACCAGTATCACAAGCATTATATGTTTGTTTGATCCTTTATTAGACAATAATGTATAATTTATTATTTTTTATATTAAGATATTTAGAAAAAAAAATTCAGTTATTTGAGTATATTTATAATTTTTTTAATATAAATTATAAATTTACATATAATCACCGGATCATGCGATTCAACCAATGACTCACTAGTTGAACCAGTGATCCAATAACTTGACCGGACCAGTTTTAATAACATTGTCTAAATGAATTTGCTCAAAGGTTTCCAAACGAGTTCCCTGAATAAACAACCATATAATATAAGGAAAAGCAAATGTCATGTTACAGGCAATTTTTGTTTTCTCCTCTCTCAGTTCGTTCTCCGTGCCAACTTTTTTCTTCATTTTTTTTCCTAATATTTGGTGGACCCTACAAAAACATGTCTCTGTAACATGATGTATCAATTTTTCTATTACATGACAATTACAAAACCCTATAATATAAAATTTTATACTGAGGTTCAACTATTTGAAAAATAATCATGATGGAAAAAATATTCGTAACAACTAAAAAAATTCTTTTATGAATATTACAATATAGAGAAAGGATATTCTTATAATTCATTTTTGTTTACAACCTCTTACGATCACATCTTAACTGTTAATTTTCGTCAATCAACAGTTATCATTTATTGAAAATTAATAATTAATTAATGAGTTAGATTGGCAAAAATGATAACCGTTGATTGACAGAAATCAACGGTTAAGATGTGATTGTAAACAAAAATAGATTATAAGAATAACCTTTCTCTACAATATATTGTATAAATTATTTATTCTATATATTTTTTATTGGGAGAAGTTACTTATAACATTTTCCAGTTATAATTATTTTTATGTTAGATCAAAATCAAATCAATAGTTGCAAAATGACATTAAGTAAGAGTTGTTGATTTAATTTTGATCCAACTATAATAAAAATGGTTATAAGAAGTTGCAAGAAAAAATAGGTTATAAATATGACCTCCCTCTTTTTTATTGTATTATTAAGGGCAGATATACTTATCACCAATTAAGTTTATCACTTCTTACCACCAAATCTTAACCGTCAATTTCCATCAATCAACAGTTATAATTTATTGTGAATTAATAATTAATTAACAAGTGTCATCCAATAAATTATAATTGTTGACAAAAATCAATAGTTATGATTTGGTGGTAAGAAGTGATAAACTTAATTGTTGGTAAGTGATCCCTCCCTATATAATTATAGAGGAAGTTATATTTAATTACAACCTATTTTTTCTTACAACCTTTTTTTTTTTTTTTTTTGTAAAAACAACCTCTTTTAATCATTTTCTTTATTGTTGGAACAAAACCAAATCAATGACTTTCATTTGATATTATTTTATAACCGTTGATTTAATAGTGATCCAACAATAAAAAAAATAATTAAAAAGAGATTGTAAGAGAAAATAGGTTATAAGTATAACCTCTCCCATTATTATATTTATCATCTCTAGTTATATTTTTACAAATTTCATTTGAGAAGAATCATGATGTTAATTCAAAAACTTAATCTGTTAGATGAAAACAAGTATTGATTTAATATGTTATATTCACACAAGAATCCATTAAGCTTGAAAGATAAATGATAGAGAAACCCATGCTAAAATTTTTCACAATATTTGTTGGAAGATTATAAGGAAAAACGAGGGTGATAATAATCAAACTTTGGACCATTTAATCACATACTGATATGACCAATTCTCTCCAAAGCTTAATTTATTAAGTATGAGGGAGATGAATGTTTTTATATTGAATACTATATTTCGTAGATCATTTCACCCTAAATATTTAAATGATGACATTATGTCCATACCATTTTAAAATATAAATGGATTCTAAATAAACAACAAAGGGGGGAAGAAACCCACTTTCTTTCTTGGAGGGGAAAAATATAGAGGAAAAAATGTGTGATTTCACTATCACAAAGAGATATGAGTCCCACACTTTTGTTTTTTTGTATTTATTTATTTTGAGTGAATCTCATCTCTTTATTAAAGTAAAATGACACGATATGTCATTTAAAATGACATATTTTTTTCCCAATATATATGGATTAATGTTTCTCATGTTATAAAAAATAATTTTATCTCCTACACACACATAAAAATATGTGGGACTCATGTAGAGAAGAGAAAAAAAAGTTTTACATAATATAGGAGATAAACCTACATATTTTGTCATATTTAGGCAAGACGTATATGAGCACACAAAACATATATGAGCATATGTTTGAACACAAGACATATATGAGCACACAACAGAAAAATCAATTCATGCAAAAAACCAAAGAGACTAACAACAAGACATATATGAGCACACAAACCAAAAAAGTTTTACATAATGTAGGAGATAAACCTACATATTTTGTCATATTTAGGCAAGACGTATATGAGCACACAAAACATATATGAGCATATGTTTGAACACAAGACATATATGAGCACACAACAGAAAAATCAATTCATGCAAAAAACCAAAGAGACCAACAACAAATGCTTAATTAATTATAGCTGATGTTTCTTAACATTTTACATGTACACAAGGCAGATCCCAAAGCTCTGGTTCACTTCCATCTACTTACAAGATGCCTCAAAACCTTTGAGAGGAGGCACACAAAGCGGGGCTGCATCTCAGACCTTGAGATCCACTATGTGCCCCCAAAATTGGTAAGCCGCAGACTGCACTAAAGATTAAGCTATACATACAAATCACTTCTACAAACGAATGAATTGAAGCAAGACTGCAAGAGTTACAGCGACACAACTACTCCTCTTTCACGTCTAAGGACTCTAGTTCAGCCAAAAGTCGTTTATACTCATGTTGGGCTTCTTGTATTTTACTTCTAAGCTTCGTCACCTGTACAATGATAACAATTTTTCTTAAGTAGGCCACAAAAGGGATAAAAAAAAAAAAAAGGTTTTCATTCTCTGCAGTGACCAGAGTAACTAAATTTAACAAACCAAAATCCATAGAAGTTATCTAACTTGGGATACAAAACTTTAACCATACAATTTTCCAATAAAAGTTTTGTTTCCATTTTCTTTTTCTTCTGTGTGTGTTGGGGGAGAGGGTTGGAAGTTAAAATAATTTTAGGTTAGGCTTTCAAAGCATTAAAAAAAACACACATGCGAGAAAATAAAGAAAGATTAATTTTTAATTCAAATCCAAGCATCCCAGGACTCAATAATTCTCCAAATGCATCTCGACCAACATTGTAATGTACAAAAACTGTTCTGTATGAAATAGGCAACAAGAATATGTAAATTGATTAACCAAGCATTATAGCGTCGAGAAAATTACCTTGAGTTTAAGCTCTTCCCCTGTCTTCTCAAATTCCAAACATCTGCAGGAAAGAGAAGAGTATAAATAAAGTCTATAGCTGCCATGCGATAATTAAAAATTGGAGGCAAGAACTAAATTTATCAAAATGACAAAACGAGAGCAATAAAAATTGCATATAGTTTGTGTTTGCCAGCAAAGAGTTGACCAAGACTGAAGTCAATCAAAGTTGCTGAACAACAATATTCCACGGGAATCAGCAGTCGTAGCAATTATAAATATACTCACTTTGCATGTAGTTTCTTATTTTCTTGCATCAAGCTTATAGTCTCTTGGTCTACCACCTGGCCAGCAGGAGTTGCAATGATCTACATAAAATGTAAGGGTGAAGTTGGCATTAATATACTTTTCAAGGATCTACAATGGCAGTATATGAAGTCCAAGAAAATCAAGCAAAGCAATAGAATTGATAAATGAACAGTTACTTTAAACAAGAAATCTCTACACCAACCAATGATAACAGATAAGCAATCTCTGACGCAAGAATGGAGTTATTGGGTATCAATAATGGAAAAAAAAAAAAAATTGACTAGAAATCAAAGACCATGTCTGAGTTGTAACATAAATTTACACTATCTCTTTGCTATGCAAATTAACAATTAAAATAATATGAGTTAATAATTCCACATGAGCCTTGGCACAACAGTTATGTTGTAGCCACATGACTGGAGATCATAGTTTCAAACAATGTAATCAACCTCTTGCAAATGCAAGGTGAGGCTACTATAGCCATTCCCAGGACCCTAGGCAAAGCGAGAGCTTTATAGCACCAATTTGCACTTTTTTTTTAATAGTCTCACATCTGTCCATAGACTTCACCGCATAGTATTCTTTGTAAATCATTATAATCATGGTAAAATATTCTGTTACCATAATTTAGTCATTATATTAGGAAAATATTGTTTAGCAAGGTTTGTATATGTTGAGATATATAGTCCCACATTGGTTGTATGTGCAACTAATGTGGAGTTTATAAGGTCTTGGGCACTCCCACCCTTTGAGCTAGCTTTTGAGGTGATGTATCCCAAGGTTCTTTGCATGGTATCAAAGCCTCGCCGCCCTCCACTTTCTCTTGTGGCGTTTCTTAGCACAGGTAGGCTGAGCTTGTTGCATTGTCCACTCTTCAAGCCCAATGGGCTCTCGTGTGAGGGGGCGTGCTGAGATATATAGTCCCACATTAGTATTTGAGGTGGTGTATCTCAAGATTCTTTACAGTATAATAGAATGAAACCATATAAAAAATGATTTAAGAAATATTATTCAGCATTTTTCCAGAGCTCCCGATCTTGGAGACTACTTCAAATTAACCTTAAATCTAGCCTGCCTTCATCATAGCCTCAGGAGCAGCCAATTTCATTACGACTAACTATCTCCTAAATCTGCGCATTCATCGCACCTGAATCTGTGCCTCATCGCACACAAGCCATGCTTTTCACCCTCATCTGCCACTGTCCACTGCCGTTAGCTGTCGGCCACTGCTATTTCTCTGACTAGTGAAGCCACCAACAAGTCCAATTGTCTCAACTTCCCCTGTCCAGATCGGCCATTACCTTGCCAGATTGACATGATACCCAGTCCTCCTCCCAAACAACTTTCTCCCTTGGGTCTTGTGTCGTGTTTGCCCTATTTCACATTACACTTGTCTCTCTCATCCTCTCCAAGGCTCCACCACCTAGTGCACTTCCAGCCACCATATCCAACTGAGGTCACCAGATAGTCCCAAGGGTGGCGGACGAGGTAGCAACTCTTAACGGGGCTAAGCTAGCATGCCTATGACCTCTTATAGACTCCCTCAATAAATCCTCAGACTCTTGGCCCCTAGCCATGACTATTAAGGACTTTCATTCTCAATCTTTCAATGCTTCTAGTATTGCCTAGAAAGATTCATGAATTATTGAGACTAGTGCTATTAATCATATGACATATGACCTTTTCTTCGCTACATTGTGTCCAATAAACCATCTTCTAGTAAGCATACTATAAGTGAGGCTGATGGCTCACATACCTAAGTTGTTGGTTGTGGTCTTATAACCTCCAAAAAATTTCCAATAATCTAATCTACATTCATAAAATTACCAAAGACCTATTTGTTGGGTGAGGCTACATTAATGGTTTTATATATCTCAACACGCCCCCTCACACGAGAACCCACTGGGCTTGAAGGGTGGACAATGCACAGGCCCACCTACCTATGTGAACAAAGAATTTCCACTTGAAAGAAAGTGGGGGCGGCGAGGATCGAACCCGGTACACCGAGGCTCTGATACCATGTTAAGAACCTTGGGATACACCACCCCAAAAGCTAGCTCAAAGGGTGGGAGTGCCCAAGGCCTTATAAACTCCACATTAGTTGCTCTTCAACCAATGTGGGACTATATATCTCAACACGCAAGAGCCCTCTTGGCTTGAAGCGTGGATTATGCAACAGGTCCAATCTTTGGTTTACCTTTTTTTGTGCTTCCACTTTAAAGTGGGGGGCGGTGAGGATCGAACCTCAAGCTCTGATACCATGTAAAGAACCTTGGGATACACCACCCCAAAAGCTAGCTCAAAGGGTGGGAGTGCCCAAAGCCTTATAAACTCCACATTAGTTGCTCTGCAACCAATGTGGGACTATATATCTCAACACTATTCTCATTGTGCTTTTCAGAAAATTGCCACAAGAAGAGCAACTGGAGTTGCTAAAAATCAGGGACTGTGGTATAATCTCCTCGATGGCCTGACAAAGGTAGTCCTAGTCAAAAGCTGCTAGTTACTGGTTATCAGTCTAGTTTTGAGACCCCTGCTTCACAAATCTGTGTTCTAATAGTGGCAGAGAGTATGTCAACCTACCTTTCTGTATTTTCTTACAGGAATATGGTATCATTCATGAACTCACATGACTGGATACTCCTCAATAAAATGGTGTGGCTAAAGGAAAGAATCGGAATTCAATAGAAAATTACAAGAGCTCTACACTTGCAAATGTCTATTCCTCATTTGTAATGAGGGAAAGTCACCTTAACAACTTGCTTTCTTGATAAATTGGATGCCAGAGTACTTGTAGTGTCAATTCTGTTCACCTTCTGACTTCTTTCTTTCCTTCAATTCATGTCATGTCGAGTCTTCAGTCCTGTGTCTGTGGTTATGTGGCCTTTATCCATATTTACAGCCAACCCCACTATAAAATTGAACCTTGGGTCATCAAATTTGTCTTACTTGGATTATGCTTCTGACAAGCAGGGATGTAAATGTTAAACGTTTGAGTTGTCACTTCTTTGTTTCTACATATCTCAATTTTCATAAAGATGTTTCGTACTTTCCTTCTCCTCATCTTCGGGGGGAGAGAGTTCCTCAGTCCACAGTTGAAGCTAAATTCTCATTCCCTGAGTATCCTTTTCACTTATTGTCTAACTCCTACTAATATGAACTTTAGTCATTTGAAACCTACTGTATGTAATGAACATACTATTCCTCACAATCTTAAATGTGATCCTTTGAATATTCACTTAAATAATGGTGAGTGACACCGATTACTTACCCATTGCTTTCCCTATTTGTCTCTTCTAAAAACCTTTCCCACCATCATAAGAGTTTTATTTCAACCCTTAATTCTATCAAAATTCCACCCACATTGCAAGAGGCATTGAAGGACAAGAGCTAGGTTTAAACCATGACTGAGGAAATAGGGGCAATGGAGAAGAATGGAACATAGGAGATTGCAAGCTGAGTTTCCAGAAGCTGAATTTCAAACTATGGCCCAAGGAGTTTGCAAGCTACTATGGATGAAATTTATATTGGATAATTTGAGAAAAAAGTATGAAACTCCTATGAAGTTATTTTGTGACAACAAATCAGCCATCAACATTTCCTATAACTAGGTTCAGCATGACAAAACTAAACATGTTGTGATAGACCGCAATTTTATAAAGGAAAAACTAGATAGTGGACTGATCAATACAACATATATTTCTTCAGAGGTTCAACTAGCCAATGTGTCAAATGAAAGACTTCCAATAGAGAGAATTCAAGATCTTACTGGCAAGCTGAGAAATATCCATTCATCAGCTTGAAAGAGTGTTGTGATTGTCCCAGAGATTTCACTAGATAATATTCACTGTAAATCATCGTAATTATTGTAAAATATTTTGTTACCATAATTTATTATTATTGTAAAATATTTTGTTACCATAATTTAGTCATTATATTAGGATAGCTACATCTATATATTAGAATGAACCCATGCATAGAATGATTTAAGAAATATTATTCAGTATTTTTCCATTCAATTGAACACATTCATAGGAAAATATGCATTGAAATGATAAGTATGAACAAAATGAACAAATCTCAACATAATGAACAAGAAGCCAATACAAACCTGTTTATTCTGACTGAAGCCAACACCTTTTACATTTTCTTCCCCTGCATGCATTTTCATCTTCTGAAGGTCTATCAATTCATATGCCTTCCTTTTATTATCAGATCCTGAACCCCGGTGAGGAAAAGTTAGATAAAATTGGTTTTAATGATACAAGTCTTATTCCTAACATAAGCAGTTACCTCGCTCCAATGTGCTTCGTGGGTTTGTTGGGTGTTGTTCCCAATTACCAAATGCTGCTTTTCTATTGACAACAGGGGAAAAACTTTTGTTCAGCATGACTGGTTTTTCTACACCAAGAGGTTTATGTAGTGATGGATGCAGTGGGGTAACTGGAGCTGGAAGCCGTTTCTTTTCTTGATATCCGATTAGTTTACAATGGAAATCCCTGCAGAAGTTTAATATGTCCTGGACATGTCATATCGATGCTTAAAAATCATAAATTATTTTGTAAATAATACGTGTGTATTGCTTAGCATACAACTATTTAAAAATTATGCAAACCCAAACACTTGCATGTTTCGAAAAGTAGAGAATATGGGAGAAAAGAAATAAGAGCAGAGCAAGCAAGAATAAAGAACACTAGCATAAACACTATACCAGTATTCCCATGTCATTTCCTTCAATCGTATTTCAAGCTTTTGAAAGAGGGAAGTTCTCTCAAAATCTTGTTTATTATGAGTTGGCTCAACAAAATCTGCTTGCAGAATACCTAACACAAGTTTAACGAAGTTAGGCACCCATCCTGTCCAGGCCCAATGTATCACTAAACATCAAATAGAACTTGACATTGCACAGTAATGTGTTACTCACCAACAACTCCTCTACCCCTACTGTCCAAATATCTCACAACCTGCCAAAATGGCTGGCATATTGAAGATGTAACAATAGTATTAGAGAGAGAGAGAGGAGAAGAAGAAGAAGAAAAGACAAGCATAAAAAATCTATGCTAAAACAACGGAGGATAAACATAAAATGATTTAAAACATTTAATTAATGACAATTCCACAATTTTTCTAGAAGAAATTTCTTCAAAAGACAGGAGAGAAAAGGCAACATGGAAGAGGATAAGGAATCCTCCAAAGTAAAAACAAAAAACATAGTAATTTCTGCAATTTGAAAAACTTGTCGTGAATATAGTATGAACAAATGCGTAATTATGTTGAAAACCATGCCTAGGTTCATTCTACATCTGATTATAAACTCCTCTGTGTTATGTAGTTAAGACATGGTCAAAATACGAAAATTGCAAAACCCATTTTGCATTATGCAGAACAATTCAATTTGGTTTCCATGCCTTAAAGGCAAATAAGACTGCCCTACCTATCATTCTACATTGAGCAAGGTAAATGGCAACCATATACATGCTTGATCCACCACCCCACCACCCTTTCCAACCCCAGAAAAGAAAACAAGGGAAAGGAATCTGCTTTATGCAAAACACAACTTTCCCCACCAAATATTTCAATTTTCAACAGAATTAACCAATTAATCAATCATAACATAAACATAGTTGCCTCCAACTTGGCATATTAGAACAATTCGGGTTTAATTACCAGTATCAGCCGATTTTTGTGATATACATTAAAACCATGGATATTGACTTGTGGAGCTTCCTTAAGAAATCCAATTGTTGTCACAATTGTTGCCTACACAGTTAATCCAAATAATAATAATTGAGTGAATTATATCAAAATAAAATTATGCATGCAGAAAATTTTTCCTCTCAATATATAATTAAAAATATTTCAAAAGTTAGACAATAACCTCTACACATCCGCCAGCTTGTGGTCTATACACAATATATTCAGGATATTTAAGATCATCAGCAATGTTATGTGGCTCCACAACTTGCCCTCGTAATATAATTTGAAAACTTTCCGGTAACCGCAAGTACAATATGGACAAGTAAACCTGTACAACATGAGAATATTAGACTTAAGAAAATTCAACTTTTTACACAACCATTTAACCATAATTTTCTAAATCATGCATACACGTAAAGAGTAACGAAACTGATTAGCAATGTGCTGCTCATTTACTCTCTTCCAGGCAGGAACAGTATCAATCTTCTTGATATCCCCAGCAATACGAATATCCTGCATAACCCCTCATTAGCAATGAAAGGATGAATTGAAAACAGAGAGTGAAGCAAAAATAAAAGGAAAACCAGTAAGTAAAAATACAACCTTAGGATCCTTATCAAAGTCCATCTCCAAACAACCGTCATCATCGAACCACAAGTTGTAGATAATAACTTTAGTACCATGAGGTCCAATGTCTTCAAACTGCCAGACAGTGATGAATATTTCGAGTCAGAATAAGCTACTAATATATCAAGAGAGCAATCAACATTATGAAACAAACTAAAATGTTGTACTAATTTCTTAAGAAGGATTTATTTGGCAACATTTCATATTCTTCAGATAGCCCCATCTTTGACTAGTACAGAAGTAGCAATCACCTCTACACAGAATGATAAGAATATCAAGTTGGCTAGCAGATAAGTTCCATTCTAAGAATTTATGACTTGATTATATGGTCAGGCCCTAAATTTCTCAAGAATGTCAATTAGGAGTCATCAGAGGAGATTACCATAAAGACCAAAATAACTTTGGCCGTACATCACAGGATGCACTAACATTGAAGGTGAGGGGAGACTAAATTTAGAAAACAAAGTATCTCAATATTATGGGCTACTTACGGTTATGGAGTTAAGCCTAATATTCCATAGATCTTACTAGGTAACTATTATTCAGGGTTGATAGCATTAAGTTGTTACCTAATGATCTAGGGTTCAATCAGGCTTGGGATTATGTTAGTTAGGTATTAAGGGGTTTTATTTCAATATCCAAATTTCCCATATGAATTCAGCAGTAGGAACACTCATTACCATTGAAGTACTAAGGCACTACTAAACAACTCTGCCCTTGACGAATGGAACCATGGCACTAACCACAACCACATTAATGCTTATTATAACTTAAGAAACCATGTAATACCATTTATGCAGCATTAGTCCTCCCAGTAGGATAAACAACATGCATTTAGATTACCATCACTAATAATACATTCTTTCCTATAGCGAAAGAAGGGAATGTATCAAGTAGAAAACAAAAGATTTATAAGCAGAAAAATATATAATCCAAACAAAGAGAGGTTGTTGCAACAAATCTCTCAAGTATCTCTGAAGATCAGAAGTAGAAAGAAACATTCTATAAAATAAGTGAGCCAATCACCAAAACACCAAACCCATACCAAACAAACAACTCTCTCCCATAAAAGAAGCCTAAGGCTTTCCTCTCTACAAAATAGCACATGCCTTAGGCAATGAGACACAAACATGCATATGCATCCCACACTGTTATACCACTTAATGCCAAATTTCAACATCAGTATCCCAACAAATAGATTTACATATAACAATAAATCAAGGGAAAAATATTTGTCCTTTTAAATGACACAACTTATATCCTTTCACTCTCACAAAGAGGTGGGACCCACACCTTTATATTTTTTTGTTCACTCTCTCTCCTCCTTTATCTATCTCTTTCTCTCACTTAAAATGACACAACTTTACATCCTTTAAAATGATACACACTTTCCCATAAATCAATTATAATTTGCCATTCTCCAGTCACAAATAAGCAGTCCAAAGAAAAGCCTAATTTGAAGGAACAGAAAAAGGGGAAATGTTGAAGTCTCAAACCAAACTATATGTTCATGATGCTGGACTGTATGGTCTTCAACAATGGAGGGGAAAGGCAATAAGTATACCAATCATTTAGTATACTCTGAAACAATTATCATGGATGAAAGGGAAAATGTAGAAACTGACTTGTTTCAGAAGATCTGCTTCTGATGAAAATGGTGACCAACACAACAGCAAAGATAAATTAGAAACAAAATGCTCTTTGCCATTTAATATCTCCAACGATTCAGTTGATGTATTGAACTCATAATTCACCTGAAATGGAAAAGATCAGTTAGTAGTGTAAATTGAAACCCAGCAACTTCATTGTAGAAAAGGTTATCAGAGGATGGAAAAGGAGATGGAGAGTGCAAACAATGCATTAAATCATTAATCATCATTCTTAAGGACCAACTCTCTCAAAAGCTTAAGTTAATAGCAGAAGGCTCATAAATGGCTTCTATACATAACACCCCCTACCTCACCTAAGAATACTTTGGGCTTGAAGCATCAACAATATACCAACCCCACAATTTTACCTTACGTTAAAATTCAACTTTATTTAGAAGAATGCAGGTGGCAAGTAGGGATGTAAATGGGCTGGGTTGGGCTAGGCTAGATTTTGGTCCAAACAGGCCAGACCTATGTAAAATAACCTATTAGTCTGGTATAGACTAAATTATAGGCTTGGCCTGCCCTACATGTAAAAATCAAAAGGCCTTGTCTAAGCATATTAAGCCCTCAATATCTATCAAGAATTAGAAAAAATAAATAAAATAATATTATTTTATTAATTAAAATAGATAATACTGACATATGCAAACCTATAGGCTTGTAGGTCATGTCTTATAAAAGTAGTGCCTATGACATGTTTCCTAAACATGCCTATCTTAAGGTCTGAGTCTGTTTACTAAATATACTAGGTCAGACCAAGCCTGATATAGGCCGGGCCGTAGGTTCTTGATAGGTAGTCTGCCCTATTCACATCACTAGTGGCAAGGATCAAACTCTTGACCACTTGGTCGTAGAGATTTTGATACCATGTTATGAAGATATGCTTTGATATTCTAAAATTCTCTCAATCTCCAAAATTATATTTCTAACAATCCATGATGATTGACAAGAGACAAAGATGCAGGAAATCAGCCCCAACAATATCTAGCATAGCATCACTAAGTTAATAACATAAAGGTACCCAAAGTAAACACACAAATGTACTATCAATCAAACGGGGGAAAAAATCATCCCATTATAGTTGCCTACTACAAAGTCTCTAGACAAACCAATACAGTTACAATTCCATTATTATTATTTTAGTACCAAATCAGCATGGAGAAGAGAAGCAGCATTTGAAGTCAATACACTACATTGAGCAAGAACATGAAATAGCAATTAAACCAAAACCTTTTGAGTAGTAAAATATGAGAAATATCACTCACCATGGGTACTACAATTCTGTCAAGCTGTTTTCGCGTCAAAAATGTATATGATAGAAGTCCAATGCTTTGAGTCATACTCCTGATCAAGATAGAAATGGTACACCAACATGAACATTACCTTTATCTCAAACTAATTGGGACCAACGATTGATGATCCCAAATAAAAAGGAAGAAAAGATTGAGCGAAAAGAAAAAAAAATAACTAAATGAATAAAATCATATGAAGGCAGCTGTTACATGACAAACCCCACTGAAAACCATGTTGAATAACATAGAAAACAAAAGGCAACTGAGTTAGAGAAGAGAAAGCAAGACAGCAAATAAAAAGGCAGATGTTTAAATCTGTGTGTATCAATAGCATGGTGGAAGCTCTATTACATAGAGCAACTATAGTAACTACATAAGACTAATATAATAAAGTAGAACTTTTTATCAACCTATTTTCAATACTTCTAACACTCCCCCTCAAGTTAAAGCTTTAACGCTTGTTACAAATGAACCCTTTAAAAAGGGAAAATAACCAAATAATATACTTGGACTCCACTAAACATGATTGCAAAGTCAAATCAGGGATGTTGGAGATGTTGGAGAGATGAAAAATGTTGGCAAGACAACTCAGTAAGTGGCTGGAATGACCATCAACTTGCAAAGTTGATTGAAAACTATTGCATAATTAAGGAAGAGACTTCGTTGGAATGACCATAAGCAGAAATGTTCTCGCAAGCAAGTATAAACAGCAAGAACTAAAATGTCTCATTCATCAAGAATAACATTTGGAAGTGTAAAGAACTATTTCAACCGAAAAGCTTAAATTGTTAGGTGAAGGCCATATTAATGGTTTTATATTATATTTCTCCAACAGGAAGCTTCAAAAACGAAAATTTAGGAGACCCAACCAAAGCACTTCCAGGGAAAAGTTCGACGGGCCAGGTAGCGAATGGGACAATCCGACAAGGCTATATTGGAACTAGGACAATCTAATAGGACTAGAGTGTAACTTTGAAATTTCTCCCTTGCTATGCTATGTTGACATTGGAAAAAAGATAAACAACGACAAGAAGGATCAGATATGACGAAAGAAGAATGTGGGAATCTAGCTTTCTCCGTACATGGTGGAGCATTGATATAATTGCTGAAAATGGGTACCTCAAGCTTTAGAATATCCTTCAAAGCGACTTAGGAACAATAATCTACCATGTGTCATATCGAAAAAGGAGAAAAAAAAAAGTAATAGGATGGAAAATTTCTTAGCGATGGCGCGATAGAAGGATTATGGACCTGGGTCTTGGACGAATGGACTCATCTCGCTAGTGCAATCCAAATTTGTTAGTCAGTGGTCAGAAAATAATTTTGACTGCCAGAAAAGTTGTTGGACTCACCGAGAAGAGCCCAAAACGTTGAAAACAACACAAAAACACCATATTTGGGTAGAAGTGTTCAAGGCACATCGATTTGTGGTGATCCGGTCAAAAAAGCTCACCAGACGATGGCTCACATGTTGTACAAGTGCTTTAGCTGCCACCAAGGCAGTGTGTCCAGGTACGTCAGTACAAGGCTGCCAATGGGTTGGACTGATAGTAAATTCCCCGAAAAGTCATTGGTGGTGGTGGGCGGCAGCAGCCAGTAGTTGAAGATGCGGCGGATGACCGTCAAGGACAGTGGCTGAAGGCTGGGTTCATTACCATAGGGACATCATAGTAAAGAGACGACGATTGCTTGAGATGTAACAAAAGAAACTGATGAGAGAAGCTCGGCAGAAAAAGTAATTAACATAGAGTTCTAAATTTTAGGAAACTCTGATAGTAGGAAAGCGACAAGACAAGTCACGGAGAATGATACTACTCTAATACCATGTGAATAACAAAACACCATATGAAGGCAATCAACCGAATCCTACAATACCTAAATGGGACCCTAGGTATAGGTCTTCATCTCAAGAAAAATATTAACGAAGGTATTGAAATCTTCATTGAATCAAATTGGGGGGGTTTGTGATTAACTGAAAGTCTACAACACATTATTGTACATTTGTATGGGAAAATTAAGTCACACGAAGAAGTAACAAGCCGTCTGAGATAGCATGTAACAGTGCTAAGGCTGAATTTAGGGCCATGGCCCACGATACATGGCAAGGAATTTGGTTGCAAAGGATGCTTGAAGAACTTAAAAACCATTCAAATTACACTATGAAAGTTTAATGTGATAACAAAGCTACCATCGGCATTTCCAACAATCCAATTCATCTAGATAGAACTAAGCATGTGGAGATTGATCGTCATTATATAAAAGAAATGATTGACAATGAGTTCATCAATCTGGAGCGATGACTTGTGCGAGCACATAGTGAGAAAATCCAATTTTTGGAACGATAACTTGTTGAGGCAAAAAGCATGAAAATCCAAGATTGAGTCGCGAAATGCGTGCACAAAGTTGGACGTTAAATCTGAAGAAGGAATGGAATCAAATAATGCATATGACTATGAAGAGGAAGACGTGAATCCTTTAAGGATTCTAAGCTAGGGATAAAATTAGGGAGTACGACCTGGAAATCGGTCCACTTTTCAATATATCAAGATGCAGATTGACATTCCTGATTTTAAAGTCTATGATCATAATCCAGTTTATGATTATTATTTAACCTATGATGATTATCCAATCTACGAGGATAATGCAGTTTATGATGATTATACAAGTTACGATGATAATTCGATTTATAATCATTCAGTTTATGATAAAACTGATGGAGAATCAGATAATGAATATCTAGTAGAGGAAGAGTTACCATTTGAGTTGCCACCTAAAGAAATTGATATCAGTGATGATGAATCAAATTCAAGGGCGAATCTTTTCCTAAAAGGGGAGAATGATACACTTACAGTTGGCTCATTACGTATGGCCTAACCAATTAATAGATTGATTCAAGAAGTTTGGATTCTGATGAACCCCAAATTGACAACTTTTAATTTATTGAATCATTGGAGGCATGGCCTCTTAAATTGCAGTAAAAAAGAAACATAAAATGATTAAAATATAGCAGCAAAGACTCAACAGAAGAACCACAAAGATTAACAAGACACTCAAAGACCCTACCCAGCTTACCCTTGGAACCAACAAACTAAGGTTCCAAGAGATCCCCAATTCCCCACTCATCAAAATGCTCAATTCATGCTCCCTCACTCCACCAATTCCCCCTCCTTTTGTCCCATTCTCTAAGAATATTCTGGAAGAATCCTATCCTCCCAAACTAACTAACTCTCTTCCTTTTTGTTAGAGATATATAAAACCATTAATATAACCTCACCCAAGAGCTTAAGATGTTGGGTTGAATTGGTTCTTTACACTTTTCTCTCACCCTCCGGCCCATCAAATTCGAACATAATTATTGTCCATTAAGTATGGCTCGCATGTTCAAAGAAGCAACAATTTAAAATCTAACAGATTATGATCAAATCAAAGTCCAAATGAAGCAACAGATTTGATTGTGATTTGTTTAGCAAAAAGAGGAAAGCAACAAATTTGGCGTGATTTGAAATCTCAGACTTGAGATGTGTTTTAAATGATTTATTTGTAATTATTTATTTATTTTTATAAGTTAGTTATCGTTATATTTATTTTTAGGATTTTGAATTTTGAATTGATTTGTAATTAGTCTATAAAAAGGTACTTAACACCCTTATCATGGAGGTTGAATATTTTGCAAATTTGATAAATATAATTGAGAACTGGAGAGTTTCTTTTTTATCAATCCGAACTTATTGTTTAACCACATTTTCTATGTGCTTTCAGTATCATTACCATTTAGGAAGAGATTGCATCCCCTACTTTCTAGGTCCAAATTATTGTTCTGCCATTTTGTAATCAACAACAATAAGGAAAGTACAATATTTTCTTTACCAACTTTAACGTAAAGTCATGTATTCACTTTATGACCCATACCTATTATTTACATGCCGACTGAAGACTATGACATCTGCACCAAGCCTCATACTACTAGTTTTGAAGCCATTTCCATCTAGTACACCAAAATGAAAAATTAATACAACAAAGAATACCAAATTGATAGTTGAAAGAATGTGATGATCCGTACACTGTCCAATAGCAAACTCAGACTTCTTATCTGAAAATCCAAAACTCATGCAACGACGCATTGCTTCCGGATCCATTCCACCACCATCATCTGATTGCCAAGTGTTAGTACCAAATCAAAACAATTAGAATATAGTATATTACCAAATCATCATATCCAACGCAAATATGTTCCTATAAAAAATTCAGGTTTCTAGGAATTTAAACCACAACAACATCAACTTCCAATATTTGATAAGTTCCAGAACCACTATACCTTGAATCAGCAATGCTGGACTTCCATTCCTTGGATTTGAAGTTTTATCTACAATAACAAAGGTAGCCCCATTTTGGATCTATCCTAAGACAAATGTCAACAATGCAATACAAAATAGGAACAAAAATTAAATGAAATATAGGAAATGATGGGTCCAAACATGGAAAAAGCATAAAACAGTATCAAAAATATATATTAAGGTTTTACAATTATCTATGCAATGAGAATTAAAAAAAAAATATTGGAATAAACATAAACTTGAAAGCAACTTCAACATCAACACCAGCTTTATCCCAAACTGCTTAACTTGAAAGCAACTTAAGCAGAAAAAAAAAAAAAGGCAGACATCTACAGAAGATGAACTATTTGTGGGACAAGCAAATATAACAAATTAATAGACAATGAACTATTAGTTGGCAATAGCTAACTCAGTATGCTGCAGATGACAAAAGAAAATGACAGCTAATATAATAAAAATCATGCAGTTCAAACATCAGGAATAATCACCTCGTCAACTGCATTATCGAGAAGCTCTGCTATGGCTGCAAACAAAAACAAAGAAAAACAACTCATGAAAATAATCACGAAACTGGGCAATTAAAACAATAAATAAAGAAAGGACAAGTTTTATGTAGATGATAAGAACATACCACCAAATGCCCATTTATGAGAAGTTGCATTCGAGTGTAGGAACATAGGGTGTACATGTAGATAGTTTTTTGCATCTGCAATCAAAGAAGAATAACAAAGGGAAAAGAAATTAAGTGGTGAAATTATATGGATTTGGATAGAGAAGGAGTAAAAAAGAATAACAAACTCTAAATAATAGAGTATAATATTGATATATGGTGTGTAATTATACATTATAAAAGCCAAAGAACTAAACTCTATTTATATTAATAGAAAAATCCTAATCCTAATAAAACAAGGAAACAAATCATGAAATATATGGATATACGAAAATCAATCCTAAGAGATAATCTAAGATATTCTAAATTGCTCTAAAATACAATCAAGATATTATGAAATATTTTTCATCTATTCTAACAATCCCTGTGAAGATAATACTTACTAAACTTTAAGCTTGTTACAAATAAACCCATTAAAAGCGGAAAAAATAACCAAAACAAATATAATCAGGGCTGCACAAAACATGAGTGAAAAGGCAACTAAATGATGCTAGACATGTTGATGCAATAAGGAATGCTAGAAAGTCTACTCAACAATATAGTTGGAATGATCATCATCCTTAAGAGCTAGTTGGAAAGTTGCATGACTGAGGAGGAGACTTCGTCGAAATAATCAGCAAAAATTTCTTGGTAAGTAATTATACACAGTAAGAACTAAAACTTCTCCAAATTCATCAAGAACAACATTTGGAAGCTTCAAACCACAAGAGAACTTAGAAGAGCGAAGAGAAATTGAAATTGAAATTGAGACTCCTATGCATCACAACCATGTAGAATTCATCATCGGTATGACTCATTAATGGGATAAGAGAAGTCACCATTGGTATGATTCATAATGGGAGGCTAGTATGAATCAGAGCTAATTTATCACTGCATGACTCATTAATAAGAAAAAAATCACTAGAAAAGTCATTGGACGCAAGATGAGGTCGGTTTGGCCTAAAGCCACCAAGAATAGGCTAATCAGGAGAGTCCAATGGTGAGGACATCTACAAACAAATTGTCGAATAACAACGGGCAATGAAAAGGAGGCTGTTGGAAAGACAACATAAGAGTGCGACAATCGATTTAAGGGTTCCAGAGAAAATGTTGGCAACAAGAAAAGCCTATTAATTAAGAGAGAAACAGCACTGACAGTAGTTAAGTGATAAGATAGAGAGTTGTGCCAAAAGGAATACACAAGAGAGACGACCATTTTGAAGGAAGAAAATGATCATGGAAATAAAGTAGAGCTACGTATTTTAGGGAACTCGACAGCAAAATAATAAATAGGCCAGGTCCCAGAGGATGGTACTTTTCTGATACCATGTTGAAAAAATAAGCATTCAGGTAGAGAAGGAGGAAAAGAGAAAACAAATTATGAATAATAGAATATAATATTGATATATGGTTTGCAATGATGTGTTATAAAAGAAAAAGCACTAATTTCTATTTATACTAATAGAAGACTCATAATCCTAATTAAATAAGGAAACAAATCATGAAATATATGGATATATGGAAACCCATCCTAAGAGATACTCTAAACAACTCTAAGATACAATAAAGATATTATGAGATATTTTTCATATATTCTAACATCCAAAATAGACAAAACTCTTTGTACCTACTGGCTTCAAGCTTAGCATCTAGCATGTGAGAACATTATATTTATGGGTTTGATATTTGTCCTTTTAAAGGACATAAGTTATGTCATTTTAAGAGAGAGATAGACATAAGGAATAGAAATCATGGGGAGAAAGTAGGTGGTTTTTTTTTAATTTAAATTTTAAATAAAAAAAATATTATTTTATGTCTATCTCTCTCTTAAAATAACATAATTTTATATCATTTAAAATGACAAACATTTTTCCCTTTATTTATATGACCTTGGGTGAAAGAACATTGTGTAAGGGGGTTATAGCCATGGAACCAATTAGTAAGCTATTTCAATTCGAAAAAAACAAAAATTATATTGGATTACTTTGGACTGTGACTTTAGAACCAAGCCCATCATCATAGTTTCCAGCTTTCCAAAACTGCCTACAAAGCGGTGCAGCACCAATGGATGAAGCATAAGAAAGGCCCGTGTCATCAATTGGCGACAGTCCCTGCTCCAATACACTAGAGTTGCTATGACCTGTACTTGGTCCATTAGAGCTTATATTTTCTTCAGAATCTTGTCTAGTGGAATGACTTCGAGATCTCTTATGCTTGGCAATTGTGCCTTTGCCTGTCTCAATTTGTGGCTTTGCACCTATTACAAAATATGACTCCTCCAACTTAACAGCTATGGGACCAACATTTCCGCTTTCGTCGTCGCTAGATAAATCCACAATCTCTGTAGTGCCCATATTTATCCCTTTAACCAAAGTAAATCATAAAAGAAATGGGTTAACAAGATGAAACAAGAATGCCACATAAAGTAACTAAATAGAGCAAGCAAATTCAAAAAATAACACAAACTATTAACATGTATGCATATGACTTTAGGCACAGCTTGAGGTTGAAAAGGAGTTCATGTGACTGGTCAAAACTTTGAAACCTAGACATGATTTGTGAATAGTATGTAGACAGGCATGTTTATACAAGCACGAAAGATTCATAAATATCTTGGAAATCTAATTAAAATGCTTCCATTCAAGATAGTTTGATATAGGAGTGGACTGCAAATTAGTTGAGAACACCCAATATTATCGAGATCCCATGATTGTCACAAAGAGAGAGAGAGCCCAAAATGTGCAGGACTCTTGCATAGTTACTATAAGCAAGAAAATAATAGGTCGATCGATCACTTTTACATGTGTAAAGAACCAATCTAACCCAAAAGCTTAAGCTGGTGGGTGAGGGCTTTTTAATGGTTTATACTATTCTCTAACACGTCCCCTCACAAGAGAGCCTATTGAGCTTGAAAGGTGGATGATGCATCAAGCCCAGCCTACCTGTACTAAGAAATTCTACAAAGAAAATGGGGGTCGGCGAGGATCGAACTCGAGACACCGAAGCTCTGATACCATGTAAAGCACTAATTTAACCCAAAAGCTTAAACTGTTGGGTGAGGGCTTCTTTAATGGTTTATATTATTCTCTAACAACATGCAATAAAAAATAAATATCGTACTTTCTTAAAATCATTGAGAAATTAAAATCTTTATACTAGTCATGGCAAACTTAAATACCTAGATACCTTCCACCCAGGATATGTACATTTTAATTGAGTAGAAGAGTGATTTTGGATCAGTTGAAAAGGTCAGATTTTGTAAAGAACCAATTCAACCCAAAAGCTTAAACTATTGGGTGAGGCTACATTAATGGTTTTATATATCTCTAACACACCCCCTAACAAGAGAGCCCATTAGACTTGAAAGGTGGATGAAGCATCGCCCAGCCTACCCGTGCTAAGAAATTCCACAAAGAAAATGGAGACAGCGAGGATCGAACACAGGACACCGAGGCTGTGATACCATGTAAAATTGGTTCTTTACATGTTATCAAAGTCTCGGTGTCACGGGTTCGATTCTCACCACCCCCACTTTCTCTTGTGGAATTTCTTAGCAGAAGTAAGTGGACCTGTACATTGTCCACTGTGCATTGTCCACCCTTCAAGCCCAGTGGGCTCTCATGTGAGAGAGCGTGTTAGAGTATAATATAAACCATTAAAAAAGACCCAAACCTACTAGCTTAAGCTTTTGGGTTGAATTGGTTCTTTATAGATTTGAATCTTAAGAAGAGGACCTAGTGAAGTAAATCAAGTCAGTTCAGTTCCTGGAACTAAATGGGTAATATCATACTCCCTTCAAGCCCAGTGGGCTCTCATGTGAGAGAGCGTGTTAGAGTATAATATAAACCATTAAAAAAGACCCAAACCTACTAGCTTAAGCTTTTGGGTTGAATTGGTTCTTTATAGATTTGAATCTTAAGAAGAGGGCCTAGTGAAGTAAATCAAGTCAGTTCAGTTCCTGGAACTAAATGGGTAATATCATACTGATAGCTCAACAAGTAAATGAACAAGAATCATAAAAGAGTTTCTAGTTCAGAGTAGAAACAAAGGCTTTAATGTTTCTACAGTGAATGTAGATAAGTTATCTACATTCGCTCCTAAAACGACGTCATTTTAGGTTGAAAAATTAAAAAATTATAATGTAAAAGACTATTTATTAACCCTAAAATAAATTATAATTACAAAAATACCTTGATTTCCGCCTTAAAACGACGTCGTTTTGGGTTCAATGAAGATAAGTTATCTACGTTGACTCTGTGGAAACAAATTATAAAACTTTGCTAGTTGTTAAGCTCTTTTAAGTTTTTTTTTTTTTTGAAAGACAATTTCCAAAAGAAAAGGGTGGGCATGAGGGGAATGGTTCTTCTAACTCACTTGATGTCCTCATGCAAGATAATTTTGGCCATCCATATCAATGGATATAAATCAACTGTGATGAGAGAGAAACGAGATAAATCAATGGCGACTGTATATAGTGAAGAAACTATAACAGTTGATTTATCCATAAATGGTTGAGATTGTCTCACATCACATGAGACTCATGTGAGATAAGAGGATCCATTCAGCATCACGAATTGACAAAACACAACTTCCGCATGGAATGAAAGCCCTTCATGTAATAGGGAAAAGTAACAACACAGAGACACATAGCAACAATAAGCAAGAACAAATAAGGAAGACATGCACCTTGAAGATTAGAGGGTTAAAAAATTCCAAGAAGATAAAGAACAGAGAATGCATGAAGGAGTGAAAGCCGCGGAATGAAAGGTGAGGCATCAACTTGAGAGTTAGGGTTTATAACAAAACCGCAAAGGAACGTTTGTAGCTTACCAGAAAAATAAAAGGAATAGGAACAATTAGAAAGATTGTTTCTTTCGCCGAAACGAAGCGCATGCGAGGTGCTGAAGTTGAAGGAAGGAAAGGAACGAGCGCGCGTCTGTGTGTCAGGGCCAGCGAAATGCAGATCAAAGGTCTTAACTTCTGACGGGAAACGCTGGCGTGGCGTCTCTTCCTCACTTTCTTTGCTATTCAATGGAGGCTAATAGAAGAATAGTTATTTATTTCGTCAAAAGTTCTATAAAGAGGGAAATAAATATTTCCTTCTCTCCAAAAACCTTTTATACGAGATAAGCAAGCAAGAATCTAGATCTCATAATCTCAACAGTCTCAAAATTACGAGGGTTAAAGATATTGAAGGATATTTTAAATATTTTGTTTATCTTTTCGAGACGCTTTGTATTTTATTTTTTTTGAAAATAATGTCAATTTTAAGTTGTACGCGATAATTTGGTATCTTGTGATAACAAACACACTAATTTAAAATATAAATATTATGTGATTTGATTTAAAACATTTTATAATGGATTAATCTTTTATATTTTTTTATTTTTATAAATAAAAATATAAAAATTAAATTTTATCAATATATATACATATATATATTAATTCATAAAAAAATTATCAAATAAATATATAAATTTTAAATATAATTTTAAACAATTATTAACCTTACATTATATCTTTGAATCAAAGAGTAAATTAAGTTTAGTTTAAAAATAATAAGAAACTTTTGAATATGTAACACCCCAAATTTCTAACAATATTCATATATAATTAACTTGATTCTCAAATATTAAGAATATACCGAATAAAATTCTCAACAAAATTCAAACATAATCAATCTACGATGCCCAAGATATTAATATTACCCTATCCAGATTCATATAAAACTAACTTACGAATTAGGCTTACATTATCAAGATTCATACAAAACTAATCTATGGATTATGATTACCGGTAACAAATTCATATATAAAGAACATAGGATTATATATAATAAATTTCATATAAAACTAAATTATAATATCTTAAGAATCAGGATTACATGAACTCCGTGTTCGAAAGCTTCCTCAAGATTAAACCAAACAAAATTCATATAAAATATTCTATTACTATAAAGGATTAGGATACATTCAACAAATTTCATATAAAACTAACAAATGATCACCTAGGGATTAAGATTACATATAACAGATTTCATACAAAACTAATCTATTACTCCTAAAAGATTAGGATTACCTAGACTGCGTGTTTGAAGATATAACAAATTTCATATAAAACTAATCTATTACTCCTAAAAGATTAGGATTACCTAGACTGCGTGTTTGAAGGCTTCCTTAAGAAAAGAGCGATTTGTGAGGAGAAACGCAGTTAGTAGCCAAGGAAAAATAATAACAATATAATTTGAAAAGGTTGGAAATAAGAATAAAAAGGAGAAGAGTAGAAAGGAAATAAAGAGGTGCAGAGAATTGGAAGTGATTTAGTTTGGTTAGGTTAAGCCCCTATTTATAGTTGAAGTTTTTTTTCCCAAGTTGGGCTCGGACTTGACTCATCTTTATCTATTGTATTTATTATATAAGATATTGCTGACTCATGGCTGACTCATTCTTATTTATTAAATAGGATATTACTGACTCATTCTTATCTTGTGTATTTAATATAATGATAATATAAGGATATATATCTTTTGTATTTAATAGAATGATACACATAAGGATATATATCTTTTGTATTTAATATAATGATACACATATATATATGGGAATAACATCTATCCTTTTAAAGGATATAAACTTATATCCTTTTAGATCCTAACCGTTGATTTCCGTCCATCAACGGTTATAATTTATTGAATTAAAATTATTAATTAATTAATAATAAATTTGGCCCATTAAGTTTGGCCCAATAGATTATAACCGTTGATGGACGGAAATCAACAGTTAGGATCTAAAAGGATATAAATTTATATCCTTTAAAAGGATAGATGTTTTTCCCTATATATATATATATATATATATATATATATATATATAATTAACTTTATTATTACTATTTTTCATGTGATATTACATTCTATCCTCCTTAAGATGAGTTTCGTCCTTGAAACTTAAAAGTTTGTACCCCACACAAATAAAAGTTAGGAAACAAACTTAGAATGTTAAGCTTGAAGACTAATGAAGAAAATTGAAGACTTAAGAGTATATTATTTGTAATGTTAATTAGAGTATTAGAAATGTTAAGTTTATTGAGTTATATCTCTCAAGGTTGCATTTAGAAGTCATAAACCAATGCATTTAGAAAATCACATGCTTGATCTATACATATAAGTATTACACACATGGAAACTAAGGAAAGAAGATTTAAAAAATTTATATTTAATCCAAATAGATATTTTGAAAGATTTGATTTGGTTTGGTTTTTGATTTGAAAAAGAAAAAACTAATTTGATATTAATTTCCTTTTTTGAAAGATTTGATTTGGTTTGATTTTTGATTTGAAAAATAAAAAAGTTAATTTGAGATTAATTTTCTTTTTAAAAGATTTGATTAGATTTGGTTTTTGATTTGAAAAAGAAAAAAATTGATTTGAGATTAATTTCTTTTTTGAAAGATTTAATTTGATTTTATCTGTTTTTGAAAGTTAATTTAAAGATTTTTATTATATTTAAAAAAAAAATTGAAAAGTTTTCATAAAAATCATGATTCAATATCTAGTGCGTAAATCTAGAGATTTTTCCTTAGGATTTGATTTTGAGAAAAAGTCTATAAATATCATTCCTTGAGTCCTTATTCATAGTTTTTTTAAGAATTGAGAAAAGAAAAACGTTGAAATACTTAGAACCCAAGAATCAAACTTACATATGTTTATTTTGCATACTTTGAGGGAAAAGCTTAATCTTATATTATAAAGGAATTCCATTCTGTGGAAACCTTGCTGACGTGTCGCACTGTGGTTCAATTTCACCATTGTGTTCACACTACAACATTTAAAAAAGTTTCCTTTAATGGTAAATTGGTGAATATAATAAATACAAAAAAGAATTATATTTTCAATTGACAGGATTTGTTACTTTAAATCAATGGTCAAGATTGCTTATCATTTATTTATAACTACTAAATCACTCTTTGTCGTCATATTTGTTTTTTAAATAATTGATGTTGATCATGTAATCTAATTGTTTTTTTTTAACCTTTATTCAGTTTAATTCAAATCTTTACGTTTTTTGAAAAAAAAAACAGGATATTCATTGTTATTAAAACAAATGACTGTTTTATTCCATGAAATGACTGTTAAAAAACGGGATATTCATTGATTTGTAACTACTTAATCACTCTTTGTCGTTATCTTTGTTTTTTAAATCTTTTTTCAGTTTAATTTAAAAACTTCACATTTTTTAAAGAATACAATTCTATTTACTCGAAAAAAAATTAATTAGTAAAAAAAAAAAATTATACATATCCCGACCTTTGTTCCTTATTTTCAGATTTTTAAATTTGAATCTTTTATTAACCTCTTGATTCAGTGAAATCAGGTATGAGTGTTTTGTTATTAGAAAAAACTTCTGTTTTATTTGGAGTGTGGCCGTGAATGGAGTTGACTGCTACAAGAACGAAAGGGAAAAGATGATAGGTTAGAAATGAAATCAAATAAAAAAGATCCAACCTGGTTTAGAATTAAGTGTGGCCCAATTCAATCTAAAAACTGGGGCATATTTGTCTCAATCTTTAAGTGAAGCCCAAGGCCAACCCAGAAGCAGTGATGGATCAGATTTTATCTCATTGAATTACGGGCCTAATGGGCCCAATTGTGTGTATGGAATAGGAGGATCAAAATACCCTAAGCTTTGTAAACACTAGGGGTGTTAACGGGCCGAGCTGAGCTTTGGTCTTAAAAGGTTAAGTCTGTGTTTAAATGTGTCAGCCTGACCAAATCTGTTACCTGTTATAAATATAATTATCAGCATGTGGCCTGAGTTATTTACAAAAAATAAAAGTCCTCTTAGCCTGTTTAAAAAAAATAAGACAACAAAAACTTATCCAAACAGAATATACAATCAACAACACTAGTAATTTCATAAATTCAATTTATATCCAAACAACATAATATAGAACAAAATCATTTAAAAAGTTTGTTTAACCAATAAAATGGGGTGAAATAGATTGAGGAGAAAGAGAGGGCTATTACAAGTAGTATAAAAAATATAAAATATAAATAAAAGATAATATACGAAGCCAGCCTGATAAGCTCTAAGGCCGAGCTTTTGAATTGGAGTTTTGGGCCTTTTTATTAGAAGAGCTTTTATACAAGTCCCAAAAACTTGTTGCGCTCACGGCAAGTGCACCAGTCGTACAAGTAATATAATGTTTAAGTAAGAGATCGTTCCCACGAGGATTATACTCAAGCACTAAATCGCTATTGCAACTTAAATTGGACAATCGAAATTGTATTTGAATCAGGATTTGAATTTGAAATTTAAATATTTAAACTAATTAATAGCAAGAATAAATATTTGAATTAATTAATGTAAAAGAAACGTAGCTAGGGTTTCGATTTCCTTCAACCTTTTTATTATGTCTGAATTCCTTCTTTAAGTTAATCGTCCTTAATATCAATTCAATCTATTCTTTCTAAGTTAATTAAGGCTCAATTCCTTGTTACCCTAAATCTTTATAATCTTGCAAGAACCCTAGTTCCCCGGTTATTCCCCAATAAAATAAGCATTAAGTTAAAGAATCATCAAGATTGCACAAAATCCTATGTCTATACCTAGAATCATAAGGATTACGATGAAATTATCAGATAAGGATCATGCACCAACATTCCTATTGTCATACATTTACCTAAGATCAATCTACAAGATTCAAGCTCATAGAAAACATTAAGAAAAGATAATTTCATTCATAATAAAAAGGAAAATTAACATAAAGAATTGTTCAAAGCATAATAAAGAAATTGAATTCCATCTAACCCTAACTACTAAAAGATTTAGCCGAACATAGCAAGATCAAGAACGAAAGAAAATAGAAAAGATTCCCCAAACTCCATAGTTGATTGGTGGATCTTCAATACTTCCAGTGCAAACTTGATTTTGATCCGTCTCCGTCGCTCACGAACATGAATCGAGGAATCCTCCGTGTTCCCTCTGCCTTTAAGTACCAAGAACTCTCTTAGAATGTGAAAAAATTCTTAATTCGGCCCAAAATTGTGTTTTTATTGGCC